GCCCCCCCAGCCTGAACAGCGGCTGAGCTCAGAGCAGCCAAACACAAGGATTCAGAGAAATGAGGGGAAAGTCTGCTTTGCCATCTAACATTTCCCAACAGCCAACGCTTCTCGTCCTGCAGAGCAGAAAATTCACAGCAGCCATTCGGTCTCCAGTGGGTGCCCATTAAAACAAATAACCCTGTTTCCCAGCTCGAGTTCTCTTTGTAGCTCAGTGGTTTTTTCCATACTTCTTGGGCTTCCCCCCCACCCCCAAATCCCCCTCTGGTTTAGCACTCCCTAAATACAACAGCATTTACTCACTCCAAAAGAAAACAGTCTTAATTTGCTCATTGCAAATTTATCTGAGAGGATAAATTCCTTCTTTTTCTCAGCTGCCGATCTGGCCTCTGTTACCAAGGACCACAAACCCAGGCAGAACCCTGTCTGCTGCTCACTCCTCTCCTCGGCAGGCTGATGGCCTCATTGCAGAGGTGAAAGGGGCCACGAGCACAGCTGGGTGCCTCGCTGACCTGCCAAGAGCCAAAGAGGCTTCGATCCACCATCTCCCACAGAAAAGGGGTCAGCTCAGGACTCACGGGCCACGCTTGGGAGCAGGATCTGTGAGAGGAAAGCTCTCCCGCCAGGGAGCTGCCATCTGCAGGGCTTTGCACTCCCCAGCCAGCCAGGCACAGGGACAAACCAACACAACAGGAGATTTTAGCCCATTTTCAGTTGGTCTAAGCAATTTCCCCCTCTTGTCCTAAAAAGCACCAGCTCAACCCTGCTTACAGCAGGAGGGGCAGAGCCCGGAGCTCGGCAGGGCTCTCCCAGCAGCAGGAGAAGGCAGGATCTGCCACCCCAGCAGCACTCAAACAAGGTGCAAACAGGTGAATTCAAGTCGCCTCCAACAAGGTTCCTGAGGCTTTGAAAAGGCAACTCAGTCACAGAGCTCACAACCCAAAAGGATTTTACAAGTTGTTGTATTTCCAGTTATCAGTAGCCAACATCCATAGTGTGGAGTCCTGGAAATGGCATTTGAGTGCCTCTTTCTTCTCTCCTCTTCCCTTGAGAGTTCCTTAGTTTTTTTAACTCTTCTTCCCTTGAGAGTTCCTTAGTTTTTTTAATTATTACTGTTTTTATTTTGATTTCACGCATTCCTTAGAAACCCATAAGCTGGAACCCCACAGTTAACAAGTGATATGTGGAGCACCATTCAATTATCTTCCTGTTTTCCTTTCTCTGATTTCGAGCACTGGCACCCAAAAGCTGTCTAAGTCCAGAACGAGCTCATCCCTTTACAATAAGGAGAAGGGATGGAAAAGTTTGGAAACAAGAAACGAATGAGATGCCACCGAACCAAAGTGCATGTCTAATCCTGCCCTCCCACAGCACCTTCCACATCCATTTCTATGCAAAGGCTACAGTACGTAGCACCGAGATTTGTGCCAAATAAACTGATAATACAGTCACCTCCCTGAAAAGCTTTCAAAAACCCAATAAAAGGAAGCGATGCCAGAACCATGCAAGGTTTCTGTCTCCTCTCTCACTTTTACACAAATAACGTTTACCTGGGGTTGCAGGCAAAATCCCAGAGCAACCTCCTTGTATCTCATGGTGGAAGAGCAATGCTCTCTATTTAAAGATCTAGTAATAAAAAGATTAAGTTAATTACTGGAGTGTCATCCCACTGAATGTGACAGGGGTGCAGTGTGCCCTTGACTGTCAGTCCACGTGCTGGGAGTCTCTGCTGGTGCTGGAATTGTGACCAGAGGAAATCTGTGCTTCAGACGAGACAGTGAACTCACAGGCGCATGCAAAAAATGCACCTCATTCTCAAGTCGTTCTGACCACAGAGTTATTTCTCATCTCCAAAAATGAAACTCACAAGAACGTGCCAAAATAAGCCAGTTGGTAGAAAACAATTTTGTTAATATAATCAGGCTACTTGCATTTTCACCCTGTGAAATACAGCTGGATCTTTCCCTGTCTCCAAAGCGTTCCTGAATGCAAGTCCCAGTGAAGCCAACGGGCAAATCCCACCTTGGAAACCAAACAGGAGAGGCCCAAACCAGCCTGAAGTGTCCCCACTGGCCAGTGACCCACCTCGGACCTGTCAGAGCACGAAGGGCAAGCAATTACCCACAGCTCGTTAAGAGCACAGGCCGACTGGAGACCATCCAGGGACAACGACCAGGGAGCCCCAGGATGCCCACGGCAGCGCCCAGCTGGGCCATCACTTTCCAGGGCAGGGCCCTTTTAAATCAATAAATCGTGTTCTCATCTGATACAGATGCAATTTTATTGATCTTATTTATTCATCCTCTCCTTTTCCTGGGTTAAACCCAGTGGAAAGCCAACCCCTGCCAGGTCAGACGTGCTCCCCGCCCACCAGCCAGCCACGTGTCCCCTACCCAGAACCACTTCTGAAGATGCTTCTAGCTCTCGGGCTGTAATTAAATACCCCAGACAACAGCTGCCCAGGAGCTCAGCCAAACAAATATTGTGTTACAGTACAATGGAAGGTTTACAAAACAGCTTTACCCAGAAGGGGTTTTGTAAACTTCGCTCTAGAAGCAAGATTCATTATTGAAATTGTCACACAGATTCAAAACCCTGCCCCACATCTGATGCCACACCACCGGTGTGCTAAAGCAGAGGTGGAACTGGGCCTGGTTCCTACAAACCCCTTGTTAAGCTGGTCTCACACAGCAAAGCACGGCCTCTGATGCACCTCTTGTCTCCACAGGCTCCATTCTTCAGGGATAAAAACCAGGGGCCACCAGCCACATCAAGCTTTCCCAGAGGAGAGCCAGGTTCAGGTGTGCTCACAGGACTGCAGACGTGGGTCAGAGCAGGTCACCGCTCCGCTCGGCCACCGAAACCCCTCGCTGTCACCTGTGGGGAGTTTGCTGACACCCCCTTCCTCTGCACGGATGGTTCACGTGGACTGGGAAAGGCACAGACCATCAGACACAAACCTTTAAGAGGTGCCTGGAAAGCACCTTGGTGTCCCGGGATGACACCGATGCAGAAATGCAACACAAAGCCCCGACACCCAGAAAATATCAGTGGTCTCTCCTCGCTTATTCATCCCCACGTGTGTGCTCTGTGAAGCCACAGCACGATGGAAGCCAAGACGTTCTCAGGCTGCGGTAAGAAAGGAGATGAAAGCAAAGGGCTAAAATGACTTCACAGAGGACTATTTAAGTGGAAGTTTAGACGTATAAAAAGCTTGTGTGCGCACCAAGTTCCCGTCTCTGCACAAGCACAAAGGATTTATTTTGGTACTATGCAAGGACCACATTAAAAGCAGCCACAGGGAGATGTGAAAAGGAGGGAATGCAGAAGGAAAGGAAGAGAAAAGCTTTGCGGGACCACCAGCACCAAGGGGAATCGTGCAGAAGCTTTCCTCCAAACATATTTCTGGGAACATGTAATGCTGGCACAGCACCAAGAGACAAGAGTTTATGAAGGGAAAGTTTTCGGATTCCTGATGAAGTCAGTGTAACAGCCACCACGGCTACAGAGAGCCCACTGCAGTGGGAAGGCAGCGCCTGCTCTGGAGTGGGGCCAAGGAAAAGCAGGCCAACAGCCCCGGGTGGGAGGGCAAACAGCAGGGACTCTGCGTGGGGAACTCTACCCACCAGGAAAGTCCGATAGAGCTGCATGTGGATGACAGCCAGAGAGGAGAGCATTCCCTACATGCAATCCAGGGGGTCCCCAGTTACTGCAGGGTCCCAGCTGCCCTGCCTGGCCCCTCTGTAAACTGGCCACCATCTGCCATCTGGAAGGAACCACCTCACTGCTAAAATACTGCTCCGAAAGACAGGAAATTCTTGCAAAGAAGAGAAGAGATACTGCTGCCACTGGTGACCTTTGAAACCTCCTGCAGCTCCCTGGAAACCAGCTGGAACAACCAAAAGTGTGTCAGAAACCTCCTCCGAGCTACAGGAATATCAGCAGTAACCAGTTAAGTAACCCACTGCCCCCTAAGGCAGAACAGCTCATGCACCAAGAAACAACCCCCAGCTGGACCCTCTCATGACCCACTTTTAGGATTCCTATGACCTTGAGAACTTTTCATCATATTTACATTTTCAGAAGACATTGTGACCTGCTCTCCAGATCATCTGGCACTACCAGCAGTGACAGCTCGTGTACTCTCTGTGCAGCAGCACACATGGCCAACGCTTCTCTTCAGCCCCAGCTCCTCTCCCCAGCTTTCCTGGAGCCCCTTTAGGTACATCTCAGCTAACATGCAGAAAGGGTTCCAGCACTTACACGGGAGGAACAAAACCTCCCACATGACAACTGATATTCACAGAAGCATCACCACTTCCAGAGAGAGGGACCATGCTGTCTCCAAGCCCTTACCTTGCTGTCCAACTTCTTCATTGTCACCAGGTCCAAGGACTTGAGTGAGTGCCCGGTGGGGGTGATGAAGTACAGGCAGACGTGAATCCTCGTGTCATGATAGTTGAAGAGAGATCGGCGGATTTTCAGCTCTTCTTGCAAATAATTTTCAAACTGCGTATCAATGTACTCTACTATCGGCCTGTAACTAAAACCATACAATTAGCAACCTGTACTGGATATCAAAATTAAGATACTGGGCCTCAAAATTAAACAGTTTGAAGGCTTAAGGAGTTCTCCTAGACATACCATGCTATCATTTAAAGAGTAGTTATGACTCAAACAATTTAGCCTCACACCAGGAAAAGTGTGGCATTTACACACAGACCTTGTAATCCAAAGTTTGCTGGAGTCTCCTGAGGCTTAGGCGCTGCCAAGCCTAAGGACAGCAGAGCATGAGAAGATGGACTCTCAGATCAGACTCTGCCCAGATCTCAGGGCTGAGCCATCTGGCTGCAGCAACGCAACTTGACCAAGGAGAGACCTTAGAGTCCCAGAAAGCCTTTACCTGGGGCTTGAGCAAGATGTCTGTGTAATTAAATGAGATGGGCCCAGAGACACCGATTGCTGCCAGAACAGATAATTCCCAACCCTGCACTGGGGACAGCTCGTTAACTGCTGACGCTCCCGGAGGACACCATTCCCTGCTGGAAAGGCCTCCTGTGACCTCTCTTCTTGGCTCCTTGCCCAAGTCCCTCCACAGCCAGCCCTCAGAACCAGAGTCACCGCAGGGAGCTACTCCCTTAACAGAAACCCAGACACCTCCTCCGCACCCCTGCGAGCGGGGCCGCGGGCAGCTCACATCTAAGCAAGCCCAGAAAGGCCGAGCAGATGGCACGAGACCTGCCTTTCGTCTTTATTTATCTGATCCCCAAATCCAACGGCGTCCACGATCGTTAGCTTCAGGTGGACGTTGCTCTCCTGCAGGTCATAGGTCCGTGGCCGCAAGCGAACTGCACTCTCATAGTGACTGGCTTCCTCCGTCTCAAAGGTGGTGTTGAAGAGGGTGTTCATTAGCGTGGATTTCCCAATGCCCGTCTCACCTAGAAAGGGGAAATCATCAGCTCGCTGCAGCGTGGATTTGTCACAGGCACTTCAAAGAACGTTAATTACAGAACAGAAGTAAATTATACTGTGAAAGGTTACTACAAACTGCTCGTGGACAGACATATAATTGTCACAAAGGTAACTGCATTTTGGAAGGCCTCCCATGTGTGATGTAGAGCTAACACAGAGCGCTTTGGTCTCATCTCCCCAGTGAGGATCCCACAGCCCAGCAAAACACACTGTTTTCCTTTCCATGTACCCTGACTTTGCTTGGGATTCTGCACCACAGAAGCTGGGGGGAGCACAATTTTAGTAGAGTCTTTTGAGTCTTCAGATGAGAAGGAATAAAACTCAGCTGCTCCTGCTGACAAAGACTATCTGGTCAGTCCTTGCTGTCCCAAACACAGGGACAGCCCCAGGGAACACCGCAGATCAGCGGGAAGCCAGGTGTTTGGTGTGCTCTGGAGGGGACAGGGCAGTCTGACTATGAGGTTTCCTCTCCCTTCTGTGGGATTTCTGACTTCAACAGGCTTCTCCACCACTTTTTCTCTTTATCTTGCCATTAAAGTCTCTGGGGACCTGCCTTTCTTGAGAGTAGAGATCCCTGTGAGGAGGGAATCTGGGGGTCCCTCAGCGCAGGGAAACGGGCAGACAGCTCTGGACTTGTCATCAGACAAAAAAACCTCTTTTCACAGCAGAAAGGCTGGATGAAGGTTTCAAGATTTCACTGTGCAGCTGAACTTTGGTCTGCCTGGAAGCCTTAAAGCAGCTTGTCCTCCCTCTTCAACAGCCTCAACCCTGCGGTCCCACATGTCCCATTAATAACCATCAAAGGACTAAAGCCCATTCTGCTATAACTCTTTCCCACTCCATCCACACCAGCATCAACCCCGTGGCTCATTTGCTCTCCCCTCTGAAAAGCACTGCCCAAAGGCACAGAGTGAGCTGCTGAGACTTGGCTCTGTACACACAAACTGTCCAAGATGGTCCCATTCTGCACAGACACATTGCAGGCAAGGTGTCTATGCTTTGAGATGATGGGGCCACCTGTGCAGCAACCAGAATTGGCCAAAACAGAGGAAATAAGCAACAAACTCTTCCATCACATCAGGCATAAGCTTCCACAGGCATCCCAACCATCTCAGCAGCCATCAGAGGGAGCAAGAGGTGCTGCTCTGCCCTGAGGAGCTCCAGCAGCTCAGGGCATCTTGCAGCCCAGCCCAGACAATGGTGTTTGCAATTCAGCCAGTTTCATCTCATATTGCTCTGGATTTCTGGATTTTCCCTTGAGTATTTCTGCTTCCTTCAAGGCTGCCCTGTTGCCCCATGGTTCTTCATGCCACGTCAGCCAAGGGGAGACAAGAACACTGTTTTAGGGGAAAACCCAGTGAAACCAATACCAAAATGCTGTACAGCATCTGTGACACCAGGAGCAAAGCATGACCATGTTTTCAGAGGCCATGTTCCACAGTGCATTTTTTTGACAGACTTCAGCAGAGCACTGGGCTGGAGCAGGGCACGTCCGAGGCATCTTCATCTTCCCAGTAGCAGAAAAAAATCTGCCAGCTTGAACCTCTGAGATACGCAGAGGGAGAGAACATGGAGTCATGAGGGGGACAGCAGAGAAACTTGATGGGGAGAGAATAGTTCTTCAAGAACCAGTAGGGGCAAGATTAGAGGTTTCCCATCTGCAGCCCCCCTGTCTGAACAGCCATTGAAGGACGCTTGGAATGCATTACAAACCAAGCTCCATCCCAGAATATTTGGCTCTCGGGCTGTCTGTGAGCCAGAAAGGCTTTGAACTGCTGCTCCTGTTGATGAAACGAGACTCTGACATTTTCCAGATTGGCCTTCAAGGGGCCCCAGTTAAACTCCTCATTCACTGCCCACAGCCCTATTGGCCCAGGGAGCGAATAGAGGCAAAATCCAAGGAAAACATCTTCTACTCATTTCCCAGGAAGTCCATTGTGCAACACCTTTGGCATCGACAGCCTTCTGCTGAGTGCAGCCCCTCTTGCTGGAACCGGTCACCCCTGAGGAGCCCTGCAGTGGACACGCTGATGGGAGAGCAGGATTCTGCTCAAGGGAGGTGCCATGGCTGTTGCCAAGGGGTTTGGGCTTTTTCTTTCCTCAAGCACCGCAGGTTCTGCTCCTCACTGGAGAATAAATATCTCACAGTGGTCAGAACAGGGCAGAGACACACACCACTTCCTACCAGCTGTGGCTAAGAGTCATGCAAGGAAATAAAACCAGCCTGGTGCTCCAGATTAATCTGAAAGGAACCACAAGGAGAACTCCCTACTGCTGCAGGCCACATTCTGCTGTTCGGTTGTGGGCACAGCTGGGAGCAGGAACTGGCAAATAGGGGTACAAATAGAGCTTTTTTTCCTCTTGTCCAACAAAAAAAAAAAGCAGTCATTTTTTCCAGAGTGTCACAAATGGTATGGCCAGGTGAGAATGCAGAGTGTCCATCCTGGTGTCCCCAAGAACAACACTAATTAAAAACATACTACCCTCTGCTGCAATTACCCTTCTTGCTAAGGAATAAGTCTCTGAAGTTGAACTGTGATTTCAGCCCTGCCTTTCACTTGTGCTTGGAAGTGCACAAGTGCATTTGGTACAGCACGAGCACCTCGTGCAAGCTGTCAGGGTCTCACTGCACTGTCTATTCAGGGCCATATTCTCTCCAGGCAGACTGAGGAACAGGCAGGGAGCTGCTGGCTCTGGCTCTATTTCTGCTGGTCCAGCAGGTTACAGTACTTCAGGACTCCTACACAATACAAGAACCAGCCAAAGTAAAAATAATGCTCATCTCATCACTGGAATGAATTGATTTCTAGTACTCTAGCCAATCTGCTAGATCATGTCAATACCAAAATTAAAAAACGAAGAATATAACGAGGTTATTTTAAAGTTGGCCTCTCGCGCCTGCTCACAACCTTCAAGACAAACACTTTACAATCAATAAAACAGAACATTCCCTCGCCCTTCCCTAGCACAGAGATGGTTGTGCTTCAGGCCCTTTGACTCACCCTGGGAAAGCATCCACTGGGCACAGCTCAGACACAAACCTCTTATCCTGAGCTTTGGAGAAATGACCCAGTTACCACCAGCAGCTCCCAGCTAACACACGGTGCCTCTGACTGCATCTACTTGTGCACCATGTTCACTGAGAAGCTGCTCACACCAGCCACCCCAGGCTGCAAAGGGAAATATTTAACTCCCCACATCAAGTCTTCCCTTAATCCTTCCTATTGCAAAGTTATTGCAGTGGAGATGAGCAACACCTCCGTGATGATGGAATTCTTCTGCTTTGACCCACAAGGCCCAGCCACTTGGACCTCCCTGCCGTGCTCTGCAGCTTCTGCACCAGGAGCTCAGCTCAAGGCAGAGCTGGACTGTCCCACGGCCACTTCCTCCCCCCTCACTGAAGGCAGAAAGTTGATATATTAATTCTCTCTAATTTTGGGCTCCAGCAGTCTTGTGAAACAGTCTTGTCTCCAACAGTCACTTACCAAAGTCACAACTCAGAAGCATCAAGCTCCAGAATTTTATTTTTTTTAATTTTTTTTTTTAAGAGTTAGGCCTTTCTGACTTGCTTAAAGTCACCACCAAGCCCCAGGGCACAGCAGGACACACAAGAAATCCTCATCCCACCCTCCCTGTGCCACCAGCTCAGCCCATGTCTGTTTGCAGGGGACCGTGCTCACCCACACAGAGGATGTTGAAGCTGAAGCCTTGGGTGACAGACTTGCTGACCAGCTGATCGGGGAGACTGTCGAAGCCCACATGGCCCCCCAGGGAAAGGTTCCTCTTCTCTTCATTCTGGTAGGGAGAAGAAGCCAGATTAGCAAACCACACAGAGACAGCAAGTCAGATTGATGAAAGGAACCACCAAGCCCAAGAATTAACCACCCTCCCGGGCACTGCAGAGCCACCAACGCTGCCCACAAGAGCTTGTGTTTTGGCACATCACAGCACAAACCCTCCAACAGCCACCACCAACAGAAAAGAGAGGGGAAAAATACTGGTCTTAATGGGGAACTGGGAGAACCAAGCTACCAGGCTACAAAGAAAACACTAGCGTGAGCTCCAACTCCATGCAGCTGGGAGAGATTAGCAAAGGAAAACCCACCACCATGTGTTTTAGCACTCATTTCTCCTCATCCTTTTTTTTAATTTTATTTTCTTAAACCCTCCAGCACTGAATTCAGTTCGACACACTCTGCATTTTTCCCCCCCAACTACTTGATTTTTTTCCTTTGCTCTTGCCATAAGCAGCACGGTCTCTTTCGCTCGCGTGTCCAGGGGTGCTGGTGGCACAGGCAGGGCGAGGAACCCTCTTGCTTCACCATCTGTGACTGCAGAGTTTTCCACCGTTTCTCTGCTGTTCCTGTTCCTGCCTCCCCATATGCACTTTGCTCTTCCTTCTGCCTCCTCTCTCCCCCAGAGGAAGACTAAGCTGATCACCTGTACTGAGACAATAAACATCCACAGAGACAACAGCTCTATGTCCTGCCTCGCACAGAAAGGCAGCCCGTGCCAGCTGTAATTCCAGAAGGGAGGAGGTGACAGAAGGGCCATTTCTCTTTCTAGGAGTTAAGAACAGGAGAGTTTGGATTTGCACAAATACTTCAACAGATGTTGCCACTTCTCTACACAAATAACTGATGCTGTGCCAGCCCAGAGACCAGAGCACCATCCCCACAGCCTCTCAAGAACCCTTATCCTTCCACGGAGGAACAAGGATATGTGATTTCAGAGCGTGATTCATCCACGGTTTCTTTGGTAAATCACTCTGTTTTTCTTAATCACCAGCACACAGTGGAAGATGGGGACAGAAAAAGCACCTGCCCTTTGCCTGGCTCTGGCTCTTCTGTCCGTCCCTGAAAATTCAGACTTAACATCCCAGCACTAAGGCTGTGAGACAAGAGCACACCCTGAGAAAAGCTGGAGCTGGCTGTCAAACTTCAAATTAGCTCAAGAGGAAAATAAAAGAAACGACGTGACAAGCCTGGAGTATTGCTCTGTGCCTGCTAAACAAAACACCAACCTTTGTCCCACTGCATCTCCAGTCAAAGCCTCCTTTCGTTCTGCCTTTGGTAGAACAAACATTCTCAGCTTTGTAAAATAAACCATTTAAATCACAAGAACAACTCACGAGCAGCTGAAGCAGCCCCTGTGCCTCACGTACAAACCCTCTGGCTGTCCCAGTTAGCATTTGTTACCCTGGGCAGCATTTGTCACCAACTTTCAGATGATTTTACCCAGTGCTCTCCCCAGGGACTCCCTGGACAGAAAGGCAACCGAGCGGTAGCTGGGCTCCTGCAATCAATCCCATTGCATCCCATCAGAATCGATCGTGCTCACTAACTGAGCGGAAACAGCAATCATTTAAAGTTTTCCTGTGGGAGATAGGGCATCAGTTAAGGTTTTAAGGTGGCCAGGAGTTTAGGTGAGCTAAAAAGGGCCCCTAAGACAGGGAAACCTCAGAGTTATATTTTCTTCTGGTCATCCATCACCACACGGAGATGCCAAAGCTCAGACTAAGATCTCTGCAGGGACAGACCCTGATGGCAGGATGATTCCCCAGCACACGGAGAACAGAGAGTTCCTGCTGATCCGAGCAGCCCAACCCCAAACCACTGATCTGGCATGGGCTGGTGCTCCCCCAGGAAGGGGAACGCGGATGCTTGTGTCATGGAAAGGGCTCAGAGTTGCTCAGATTTGGTTTGCTTCTTAAGGAGGAGACTGTCACAAGGTGCAGGAGGCCAGCAGCAGGGCTCAGGGGTTTTCCTCGGGTTCTCAGCTCCATCCTCTCAGCTTCTCCTCTCCCCCTGCATCCCTCTGAGCCACCACCTCGCAGAGCTCCAAGCACCAGTTCCCAGCACTGCAATGCAGGGACAGCCCCGCCAGCCCTTCCCACAGCAAGGCACCCCCTTGGAGGGTTACGCTTTGTGTCTTTTCCTTTTAAATCATAAACAAAAACAAGCAAACAAAAACACAAACCAGAAGCCTGGGATGACATTTTGGAAGGGAAATAAATAAAGGCTGCCGATGGCTATGATTAGGCTGAGAGTGCCCGAGGCTGGGAAGAGGTTTCCAGGCAACAGGCAGCGCCACTGCTCGGGATTTTAAAATAGGCTCCAGCTCGGCAGAGCTGCATTGAGAACTCAGTCATGCTCCGGCCGGAGGAGACCCAAAAACCCAAATGCTTTCACACAGGGCTCTCTTTTTCTCTCCTTTTTTTGACATTCTGTCGCTGTCCGGTACGGGCCAAGAATACACTTCCACAAAACCACTCGCCATCTCTCAAAGCTGCTAAACCAACAAGCCAAACTTTGGTGAAATATTTCTGTCAGTGACCTTGAAATGCACAGTTTCCTTTTATTTCTGTAAGCAGCGATAATAATCTGGTTCGAGTCCAAGAGGCTGCTGATACCAAAGCAGAAAACCATTTGCTGTGCTTGCAGTGCGCTCAGCTGTCATTCAGCCTCCAAAAGGATCTTGCTAATGTTGCTGTGTTAGGACAAACAATGGCAGTAGCTGCTGGAAAGTAATAAGACTAAGAAAAGAAAGGGGGAAAAAAAGGAAAGAAATAGAGTTTTTTCTGTTTTACTCTTTTCCTCCAACCCGTTGGGCTCACAAATTTGATGGCCTTGAGAATACAACCAATTTTTCCGCTCTCTTTGGTGCATTGAGCTGCCCTGGAGAGGAACCAACCCACCACCCTGATGAGCAACCACCTCCTGCATCCACCTGCAGCCCACTTGTGAGTCCCAACCCGAATGACAAACGCTTTTGGCCCTCTCCAGCTCGCCCAGGGTGGCTCAAGGACAGCTTCACCTACCAGTAAAGACAACAAGGTCACACTCAACATTGAATTCTTTCCAGCAGAAGCAGCCAGCCTGCAACGCTCAGCATAAATAATCAATCCAGAACACAAACGCCGCAATCAACGAGGGCAGTGGTAACGCAGCAACGTGGGGTTTCTTTGTTGGTTTTATCTTAAGCAAAAGTTAGGAATTTTGATAGGACTTCTTTTTCCACCTCAGGTGCCAGCGATGCCGTGCAGGAGGGGAGCAGGCAGGTTACGTGGCGGAGCTGGATGGGTTTGGCCATGGTGAGAGCCCTGCCCTTTCCAGTCTCACTGGTCCCCACAACATTCCCACCCTCCACAACGCCCCTTCAGAATTAGATCCCTCATCTCACGGCCTGGAGAGACAACTCTCCTGCTTCTTACCCCATCCTGGGGCAGCAAATACCCAGGGGGCTGCCAACCTCTCCCAAAGCCCATGTGGTCATTTTGTAACATGGTAATTAAGAGTCTGGGATGGTTCTGGGTACAAAGTCCCACCATAAACATCCCTGATCACCACTTTTGGGGTCACTAATGGCATCCTGCGATGGGCAGCTACCAGGGTTTTACTGGGAGCCTTTGAACATGTTCTTTGAAGACCTTCTGTGCCTTAAGCTGATCTCCAGGGCTCGAAGCAGAGAGTCAAGAGGATAACTTGTATTTTGAATCTGGAATTTTGCAGGAAACAAGAGTCATGAGAAGGTGAGAGCAGAATTTATTAATCCAAAGTCCTTCAAACATTTTCACAGATGCTCTGGCTGGGCTGAGAACCAGAGTCCATCAAGGCAAGAGGTGGACAAATGGCATCTGGGGGCACGGCCACGGGAACAACAGCCACCCTGGAGGGAAATCAATCTTCAGCTCTGGTTCAACAGCTACGTCACAGCACCCTTCTCCTGGCAGGCAGCAGACAGACAGATGTGCCCTCAGTAGCACAGATGGCCACACTGAGCTGAACACCACCAGAACCAAAAAGAGACCTCCAGACATAGTGCTTCAAACCTGCTCTAAGGCACCAGCCACCCCGGCTGGAGGATGGGACACACTGGGGATGCACAATGGCATGCCGGCCCACTCCTGCAGCCACAACAGCACAAAGGGAACCAAAATAAGCATTTTAAACCCACATCAGCTTCCCAAGCCCATCCATGGCAGGACCACGGGGCTGGGAGGACACAGGGGGCAGCTTCACCACGGGAACGGGCAGCAACGCTGCAGGCAGCTGCCCACAAACCACATCCGGAGATTATGGTACGTTCTTTGGCCCTTTATTGCAAGCAAGACAAGAAAAGGCAGAGAAACACAATCAGGGAGAGCAAATCCAGAGCCCTATAAGAGGGCCAACGCAGTATTCACATAATAATTAGGCTCTTCCTAGTAGGGAGAGGAAATAGAGAAACCCGTGAGGAGGAATGGCACAGGCTACAGCATCATCCCCTGTGCCTACGATCCTTTAAAAAGTAAAAATCTGATCACAGTTTCTCTTCTTCCAGTCTCTTCATGCTTCACCTCCAAATTAGCATCAGTTTCACTTTGCGTCATTACTTTTTTCAGCAACCTCTCCCAGAAAAAGTGACTTTATCGCTGCCTGCACAACCCATGGGGGGTGTCAGCAGCGGGAAGATCAGCTCCACATTCAGCTGCCCCTCAACTGTGGAGCAACTCACTATGCTTTTAGATCTGCCCCTCTTCCCCTTGCTTTCACACGAGGAGCAGTATGAACTGAGGGGAACCTGGATATAAAAGACCATTCTGACATCAGTTGGTAAAAAAAATAATAAAAAAAATAAAGAAGATCTATCAACTTTCAATTAATCCCAACAAGAAATACTCTTTGGTGACACATGCTTGTGTTTTCTGCTTGAGACAACCCTCAGTTTTATTTTCCTGAGTGAAGCAGGTGAAAGCATACAGGTAATCACAAGTATAATTAAATGCCACAATCATAAATGGTGATATTTTGTTT